TTCCCTGAGAATACCTAATTAATCTCAGACCTGGGAGGAAAAATCAAGATTAAGATGGGAAGTCCCCATCTGCACTTTGGGCACAGGAACTTGGGGCCTCGGCGTCCACAAAGGGCATCCCATGACCCCTCCCTGGGGCATCTTCTCCGAGGGCCTTGCTGCTCCCTTGGCTTTGGCCTCGAGTGCATGAGAAAGCGGTACCCCGCTACCTACCGACCTTCCCGCCCGCTCCCAGGTGCAGCCCCACGCCCCCCGCAGCCCGGGAGACCAGCCACACAAATCGGAGCCCCACATTGAAGATGTAGCTCAACCTTTGACCACTAGAGGTCCCCTGGAAAGCAATGACCCGTATAACCCGGTTTATCTTCCTCCAACCCAATAGACTTGTTGCACTAAGTCTTGGCGAGCCAGCTCTGCGGGAGGCCGCCTTATTAATAACGCCACCCACCCCCAGCGCCCACGGCGGCGCCAGCCTTGGAGGGGGGAGGGGACGAGGCGGTGGCTGACCCTCAGACGGGGCTGCTGTTCCCATCCACGATCCAGTCTGCAGACTCCGGGGCTCCCCCCACCCCGGACCCCACTTCCTGACCAAGCAAGACGGGAGAGCCCCTGAGTCGAGGTGCCCAGGTGGGCAGCGCGGAGTCCCAGGGACTTCCAGCCCGCGATGGGCTAGCCAAGGGACCGGGGCTGCAGCATCACCCAGCATCAGGGCCACCAGCAGGCCGGGACCCACCCTCCCCCGGCGTCGCCCCCACTCGTTCCTCCCCGCCCCCCTTCATCTCCTCCCTCTGCCTCGGGATCGCCCAAGTGGCCCCGAGTTGAGCCGGTGGAAGGAGATTAGGGAACCATTCACCGTCCCTGTTCTGATCCGAGCGGTATTTTCGGCAAAAAATTAGCGGCTTCTAGCTGGAAGAGGAAAGGAAAAAAGGAGGGGGCAGCCGAGGGGGAGCTGGAAAGGAAACAGCCAGGTTGAATTCCCAGTCTTTATCAAGCAATTCGCTCACCAGTGAAAGAAAGCTGCAGTGGCAGATTCGAGCCACATGCGGTAGTGTGTAGCAATTAGTAGATAAAATGCTGACTAAAGTGCTAAAACATGAAGTATTATTGTAGCCAAGGTCAAAAATGCTTCAGTTGTCTTTTGCAATTTGGGGGAGGGGGAGGCCCAGAGGTGCGCGGAGAGGGTTGAATTTTCGAAATGGTTGCCTTCTTTCTTCAAACTGTACTTTTTTTTTTTTTATGATCCTGTTTATTATAGCCCAAGCTGCCTAATTATGTCACTGCTGGTTTTTGCAACTAACTTAATCCTCCTGATCCTTTATGAAACGATTCACAGGCACTGAAAAAATGTGTCTACTGCTGCCCCCACCCCCTTGAGGGGGTGAGATTTAAAAAAAAAATTTTTTTTAACCTCTTAAATAAACCAAAGAAAACAGAGAGTTGGATGGGGAGGCGGGGGGGCTAGCAAAGCAGCAAGAATATAGATGTGTGGGTATAGTATAGTATAAGAAAGAGCCCAGAAATAGGGGGTCATATAAACATATACTGCTTTCTTTCCCACTCCTCTTTTATACACAGTTGAGTCCCAGCTACGAGCTTCTTTTTTTTATAGATAAATAAAGCAGTTGCTTTCATGATTATAACTGTCCTGAATGGATTGTCTTCTTACAACATTCAATCTGTTTATGAGTATTTACTTTACATTAGCCCAAGGACCCTGCACTGCAGGAGTTTGCCTCTATTCCCCTGGGTGTCGGTGTCTCAAGTCTTACATCTGCTCTGTGATTGATGGAGCCTTGAATCCACGTTATTACTCTCTCACAAGCAGAAATCAAACAGGCTATTAACTACATTACTTCAAAGAACTGTTTCAATACAATCTCCTTATCTTAATTGAAACTTTCTTTGTATGGATAGTTGCTACACAGATAATTTACAGGTGCCTATCAAGCATCATATTAAAGAGGTAAAACAGAGGATATTTTTTGGTTTTTGTTGTTTTTGTTTTGATTTTTTTTTTCTTTTTTGTAAACACACACCACTGTGATCTGTGATTTTAAGCACCATTTACAGGATTGGGACCAGGGATTTGATTTATTAGATTTTATTATGTTCGTGGGGGTGGTAGTGGTGGTGCTGTAAAAAAGAGGGAAGATACTCCAGTGATACAGTTTTGAAATTTAACATTCATCTGATTACAAGACTGCAGATATTCAAAAATATTCAGACCTAGATCCCTGCAATTGTTAACATCTGAAAAACCTTATCGGGAGTTTTCGAGAAGAGAGATTACGCAGCATGCAGCCTAGTTCAGCGCCTACCTTGAAGAGACATAGAAACAGGGTTTCTAATTAGATGAAGTCCCTCACAGACACTTAAAGACGTAGAGCACCAAAACCAGCAGAAGTTGCTTAGATGCTCTAAAGAGCTGTGTATTTTTTAAGAGAGAGAGATTTAATATACAATCCAGGGATACCCTCAGGCATACTGTTGAGGTTTCCTGCATAAATGCTGCTGCGTTGGTCATACAGGAAACTGACTCAGAGTCGATCTCAAATATGATCTTGTCAAAATACTGCAACTCAAGTTTTTAAATATAGGATGTCTTGAACTGGATGTAGATATTTACGCTAACAGGATAGAGACTAACTGAAGCCTTAGGCATCTCTCCTGTGTTTAAAAAAAAAAAAAACTTAAAATGCCCTTCAGTCAGGTCCATTCATATGTAAAAAAATGAACAAAATGGGTTATTCTAATCAAACGTCTGCAGTATGCATCATAAAGTTAAAGAGAGAGAGAGAAAGCAGGGGAGAGCTGTAATTCCTCTTTGTAACCCATGTTTATAAAATAGAAAGATCAGATGAAATTTCAAGGATGGTAATTAAAGAGTGATGTGCAAGTCATAATTTGGCTAATGCAAAGATGGGAGACTGTGAATTGTTACATTGTCCTCCTTCATTGTGCAGAGTTGTGATATTACTTTAAATTATTAAAATAGTTTTCATCTTTAAGAATACCGGCTCTTTGGCATGAGCTTTTATTACTTATTGTAATTGGAGGATCTGCCATTTTCTTTCGTTTATCTCTGTGTGTATAGAAACGAGATAGATCTTGCCTTTTATTACTTCCCCATGTTCTGAATCAAAAATGTGGTTTAGATAATGTTAAGTGCCCTAATTCTTACTGCAGCGGACGCAGACGTTATGAAAAGGCATAAAAAATACACACAGAGGGTCTTTCCACCTCAAGTCACTGAATATGAGGCATTCGTGCTCTGCCGGGTGTATTAACTTCAACCATGTGAATATAATTTTCATTAAAGTAATCCTGTTTCAACTAGATGCTGTGACTAGAGGTGAAACGTTGCGAAAGCGTTAAAAATAGCTTACTAGTAATTTCAACATCCTGTAATTTTATCACAGATCAAGTTTCAACTGTCATACTATACAGACCTTATTCCCCATATAGTACATGTTTACTTTTTTAGCATGCCAGACCCACTTTAGAAAGATTGGTGCCAATATAATAAGATCGGGGCGGGGGGGGGCGGGAGGTGCTGGAAGGAGTGGGAGGAGAACGGGGAAGGGGGTGGGGAGCGTGGGGGAAGCGAGTACACCATTTTACATCAACACTGCGAAAATGCAATCTAGCCTGGCGGAGGACGGGCAGCTGGGTCGGGGCGAGCGAGGGCTTTGCAGTCTCTGCCTGTTCCTTGTTCTGTCGCTCTTAAGTTTCTCTGTGTTTGCATAATAGCCGTGCATGCAAACCTCGCAATGCTCCAGGGCTCCGGAACAATAAATATACACATTTAAAACCTTTATTGTCTTACGGTTCGTGCCCCCGGTTTTCAACAGCTTAATTTCTGATTGTATTTAACTAGTTTGCAAATGGATTTTTTGCAGTTTCAAACTGTTATGAGGAAGCTCCCCTCCCTTTTTTTTTTTTTTGGCGGGGGAGGGGGTGGGGGTGGGGTAGGAGTCGGTATATTATTCCTGTAGCGCTGGGTTATATAAACACATTATCATTTGAGAGCGCCCTTGGCGTCCATCAGCATTGTAAACACGTACTAGTGTATATACTTCAAAATTAAAGAATGCACACGCAGAACCGGGAGCCTGAATTCATATTCCGAGCAGACTCGCTGCTCGCATTTATTGATTTATCATGCATCGTTTATTGTTCCAGTCCCTAAATGCAGTCACTGTCCGTTCAATATTGTTTGCAAAATCCTGAGATGTGTGTGCACTGCTCACTTGTCTTTCTGTTTTTTTTTTTTTGCTGAGTATTTTTTTTGCGAAGCGAACAAATGCATTAATATTTATATGTTTATATAATCGATAACCCACTTCTCCCTTCCATGTAAATAGGCATCAAAAGATAATTTAACAGATTAGTTCTCGAAAACATGGCAGTGAGGAAGCGTAATTTAACTATCAAACAAATCTACATGTCTAATAACAGCAAATCTGCTAAGGAGCATTAGAAAGAGGAGCAGCGCCCCGGAATCTCTGCAGGAAATGTTCTTTATATTAGACATATACAAGCAGGTCCTGTCAGATGCACAGCGGAGCTCGCTAGCTCTCGTCTCCTCCAAAAATCTCATTAGACGACACCCCTAGACAAGGGAGATTGGGAAGAGGGAGATCTCATCTTCACACAGTTTTAGGGTGGATTTTATTTTTACAAGCCTTCCTATCTGGTTCTTGCCTTGATCCATCCGCTTCCCGCCGAGATCGGACGGAACCTTTCTTCCGATTATGAATTTGATCATCCCACATTTGGAAGGAAACCGACACAGTTTTGACAGGAGCTGAAAATTGAGTCGTCAGAGAAATATTAGGACATATTTTCAATCATTTTGGTGCCGAAGGGGAGGCAAGAGCTCAGTTTTATATTGAGACATTACGCCAGCTGAAGGCAGAGAATGTTTTTCCCTGCCAGGACCTGATGCAATCCATTCAAGCCAACAAGTTTGGAGAGAATGTTGAGTTCAATCAATTCAGAACGTCGAGATGGAGCCCAACTCACTCCAGGTATTTCGCTCTCCTCCGCTCCTCCGATCCCGGCACCCCCCGGCACCCCCCAGCCCCCCAGCTCACCCACACCTCTGCACCCACCCACACCCCCCACAAACTTTTCACCAAACTTTTACCCTCTGCATCCCCCCAAATCATTTTTATTGTTTAAAAAAATCCCTGCACTGATCATACATACATAATGTAATTTTACCGCCTCAGATGGAGAAGTAGGGAGAGGTGGCGGTGGGGGTGCCCGGAGTTTTTTTTTTTTTTTTTTTTTTTTAAAGGGAGGCAGAAAATTTGTGGGCTCTATTATTTTTCCACCCAGCTTTATATCTGTTGGCTCTTCTGTATTAAGAGTGTGGATGTCTGTGTGTAAATGTGTCTGGGAATAGATGTTTGTGCTCTGATGGCTACGTTATTTATTTGGTGCTTTTTTTCCCCTGCAGTGGGTCGGCTCACCGTGTGGCTTGCACGGACCTTACATTTTCTACAAGGCTTTTCAATTCCACCTTGAAGGCAAACCAAGAATTTTGTCCCTTGGCGACTTTTTCTTTGTAAGATGTACGCCAAAGGATCCGATTTGCATAGCGGAGCTCCAGCTGTTGTGGGAAGAGAGGACCAGCCGGCAACTTTTATCCAGCTCTAAACTTTATTTCCTCCCAGAAGACACTCCCCAGGGCAGAAATAGCGACCATGGCGAGGTGGTAAACTTATATCTCCCTCTCTTCTTTCTTTATTATCCCCCCCCCCAACACCAGTAATGCTTATTACAGGGCAAGCTTGAAAATACTGTATTCACTTCTGCAGGCGAGCAGGATCGACTCCTTTTTTAAAGGGGTAGCGCCACTAGCTGGGGCTCGAGTATTTTGCCATTGTCAGAGTTTGGCTGTCAGCTTTACAAAGAGGATCCAACTGCTGATTTTAGTCAAGATCAAATAACTTGTTCGAGAAGGGTTTTGTTCAAGGATGTGTGTGTGTGTGTGTGTGTGTGTGTGTAAGAGAGAGAGAGAGCGAGAGAGATCGTTCGCTCTCTTGCTCCTGCCGCTTGAACATCACATGCTTTATATATATATATATAATTTTTTTTTTTTTTTTTTTTTTTTTTTTTTTTTTGCCTTTTAAGATTTTTACCTTCGCGTCCGGCTGGGTCGGGGCTGGGTGGATTTCTTTCGGTGGGTTTCGATATGGTTCACTTTTTTTTTTTTCTTTTTTAAAGTAAGTATTTGATATGTTTAAGAGGGCGGAAATTACGAAATGGAGGCAGAGTGAGATCAAAAGCTATTGAGTTGGCAAAGACGTGTTGAATAAAGTGATAAATGACAGGTACTGGAATAATACATTCAAATAACTTGCAGATCTGCCCGGGCGGATTTCAAAGCGGTCGTGTAACCGGCACAAACACGTTAAGCATTAACAACTATCTCTCGCCCCCACCCCCACCCCCACCCCCTCCCCCTCGGACGAGCCATTTGATGTTCTGGGTCTCAGTTACTCCACGACGAGGGGACGCCTTCCAGCGCGGGGTTCGGGGCGCGCGGGAGCGGGGCGCGGGCGGCAGGCGGAGGGGCGTGTGCTCGGCCCCCGGCCCCGCGGGTCGCTCGGGGGAGGGTCCGGGCCGCGCCGGCACGTTCCTGGGCGGCCGCGGGGGCGCCAGCCGCGCTCCCGGGAGGACGCCCGAGGTGAGCCGCTGTCACCGGGCGCCGGCGGCCGCCTCCCTCCGGCCCTGTCATCTGGCGTGTGACCGCAGCTCTGCGGGCTCCCGGGTCAGCCGGCCGAGCCCCGCGCCGCGATGCCCACCGGGGGACCTGTTGGGGGAGGCTGTGCCCTCGGTGCGGCGGGGAGGGCGGGCGCGCGGCCGCCTGGCAAGGCTTTGTGTTGCCCGGGCGCGAGCAGGGGGGTCAAACGGAGACTTCTGGGCGCTGCTAGCTTCGTGCCAGGCCCTCGAGCTTTCGAGGGAGCTGTACGGATCTTTTTGTTAAATGAATGGTTCCCCGTTTAACTCATCCCGGAGCGTGGAGCTGCCTGCCAGTCCTCCCAGAATTTCTTGGTCTGATGGAGTTGATTGTACTTTTGGCATCGCCCTTTCACTCCCTCTCCCTGGATCGAATTACCCATCAGTGGTCTATGCCGGTTAATTACTGGAGTTCGTCAAAACCTTCGCCCTCGGATCTGCCTCCTCGGAAATAAGCCCCGCCCTCCCCCCGAACGTCCCCCCCCCTCCGCGCCCCCCCGCCCCCCGCCCCGCGCGCCCTCCCCCCGCCCCCCCGCTCCCCCGCCCCGCGCGCCCTCCCCCGCCAGCTCTGGGTTTTAAACGTTCCTACTTTGCGACGTCTGCCTGCAATTTTGCAAAGGTGTTGTTTGGAAATACTGTGAAAAATCCTGCAACCTACCAACAGGTTGAGCTCTTTCCCCCTCCTGAGGTCTAGCTCGGGCCCCCTCCCCCGACCCAACTTTCCTGCGCAGCTGTCTTCTTCCCCTCCCCCTCCTGATTTCTTATTATTTGCTTTTCAAATTTATTACTTCAACATGGCCTGTGATCTGGAAAAGGGAAGGATTAAATATCCAGAAAAGAGCTGGTGCCTAATAGACTTCTGACTAAACCCAGAAGGAAATTATTCAGTGTTTTATGAGATATTTTTGTGGTCACTCGCCCTTTCTCTCTCTCTCTCTCTCTCTCTCTCTTTAATTGAAATTGAAATATTTTTAAAGAGCCCGAATTTGACCCCACTTGGTCCAGTTTTAATTTCTGTTGGCGTAATTAAATAGTGAATTCTGATTTAAGAATAAAAGCAGTATTAGCCGAAGGTTGCGTCTGTTAGAACTGCTGATAATGAATAGTACACAGTGTTTTTAAATACACGAATTAAAAAAAATTGTTCATTAAGGGGAAATGAAAGCGAGCCGTTGTAATGATCTGTACATTTCGTCACTGCTATATGAGCCATACCTCCGAAAATTAATCTTGCCATTTAAAAGTAAACTCTAGGGGGTTTGGGGAGAGAGATGGCTCTATTTATAATCCTCAGCTGCATATACATCGTCTAATATTATGCATGATTTGTTTTTTAATGCTAACACGGCTGGTAATTAGCTGTATGATTATACTTGTATATTTCATTAGGACTTTGGCTGATGTCATTGTGAATTATTCAGCCATATTAAAACAATTTTCAATTGAGATAATGACACGCCTCAAAATTATGCAAATGCAGGCTGCATTGTGCAAAATAATTATGACAAATGTAAAGCAGGTAGAAAGTTTCCCAATGCAGATCGGTTTTCCACCCTGGTGATGTCATTTCCCCCCTGGCCTAAGTTAGTCATTCATTAGCTGAATAGCAGCAGCAGTCTTCTCTGGAGGAGAGCCTACAGAAACCAGCATTTACTGCAGGCACCTAGAGGGGGCAACAGGGTCCTCTCGTTAAGAAATTTGCTTTGTTTTCACTTACTCCATTAACTTGTTTATATACAGTGAAATGATTTTTGTTATTGATTTTAAATAGTTTTGAATGATGCATTTAGCCATTTGCAAAGTGTAACTGAAAGAGAAAGGTTTCTTGGTGATGTGCACTGTTACTTGGAGAAAATGTTCAGCACATTTAATCAGCCAGTACAGTTTATTTTAAGTAACCAAATGGAGGTTAATAATTTCTTGATTGAGCTGACATCAGCATCCATTTCCAAAGGACAGCCAGGACTTGGTATGCTTTTTTGGTTTAAGAGAACCATTCTATTTATGATCTCTTGAAATGTAAAGACGTCAGTTCCAAAAGCAGGAAAATTATCATTGTGCAAGATTAGAAATAGCGTCCCTGTGTGGTGTGCTATGATCTGCGGAGGGCCTTTTTGGGGAATGCTTTATTGATCCTTGCAGTAATTGTATGAGGCTGGATAAGGCAGGACTTTGCATGCCATTTTACAGATGGAGACAGAGGCTTAGAGAAATTATATGGTTTGTCAAAGGTCACCAGGCTAGAACCTAGGCCTTCCTAAGCTTTAGGGTTAGTTTATTTTCCCACTGAATCCTACCCCTGGCACCAGAGTTTTAACATATCATATTATATTCTAGAAGTGTGCACGTAATGTGGGCAGCTCCTTGTTCATTTTAGAATCGTGACTAGTCAATCCATTTTGCCAAAGGTCACCAGATTTTGGGTAGCAGAACCATTCGTCTTCTATAAAGTTCAGCAAATTCGAGCTAGTGGTATCTACCAAGAACAGTTGTGTTTCAATACCATTATTAATAATCATTAACAATGTATTATTAGCAATAATAATTGTGATAATGACTTACTGCCGCCTTTACATACTTCCAGCGCTGGCAGCTGGTGTTGAGGAAGAGCAGTCGGGAAGGAGTCACATATTGATTCTGCAGCTTAGTATTTGTTTGACCTTGAACCAGGATGAACACTCTGAGCCTCAGTTTCCTCAGCAGCAAAATGGGGACAGTAGTAAGGCTTACTGTGGGTTGTGAGAATATCAAGAGGCACTGTCTGGGCAAAAGTACTTCAAATACGGCGCAGTCCTTAAATAAGTAGAAAAGAGTGATGATTGTGGAGGCCTTTATTCTAGAAATTCTTAATTTATAAACAATAAGCAGGATTACTTTTATGCCTGTGTAGAGGTTCCCAGGCCTAATCACGATACTGTCTTAAATTACCATGCAAGTGAATAGCAGGGCCATCTACAAGGAGTTAAGTGTCTTTAGTAATTACCCACAATTGCCACATTCAGCCACTACTGGCAAAGTAGGCGGGTAATTGGTTCTGTTACTGGGTAACTTCTGATTACATTCATTTTCAAATTGCCAAGCGCTTAATCTATTGGCAATATACCCTCTTAAAAGACGTGGATGTGCAGGCTTGGATTTCAGCCTGGCCGTGGGCTGGATTCTACAAGAAGCTTTACTGGTCACCCGCAACTGTGCATGTGGATGAGTAAGCTAACGATGTCAGTAAGTCAAGATCAAGCACACTGGGGTACTTCAGATCCTAGCATGTAGTCAGGATTTCTACAAGTGGTTACTTATCTGGTTAAAAATGGTCAAAAACTCATATTCCAGACCCCCGTTGAAACTAACTCGATTGGAATCTCTGGAATTGGGGCCCAGGATCCTGCATTTTAAACATCGCCTCATTTTTCTCATCTATAAAATGGAAATATAGTACCTACTCCCTAGGATTGCCTTCAGGATTAAATGAGTTGATACATGTAACGTGCTCACAACTGAGATTGGCACATAGTAGATTCTTCAATAGTAGTTGACTCATTGTTATTATCGTTAATATTCATATCGTCGTTCTCATTGATGTTTGAGACCTCGACCACTGCCTTTCCTAAAGAAAGGTTTTCTCTATGAGAGGACAGCATATAGGTGAGTTTGCTAGGACAAATTAGCCAATACAGGTCTCCCAAAATCAGGTTGGCTTTCATCCAGATGATGGGTTTAGTTATGTCACCAAAAGAAAAAGCTCCCTGAAGATTTACATTTCAGTATGAAAATATGTTGTCATCTGGATCGGCAGGATTTGTTTAAAAGATTGCCTGACTGTATCACATCTCAGGTTCATCAGACACGTTCTAAGATCTAGGAGGTGCTGCGCTGACTCCGTTGTGGCTGTGGATGAGTGGCTGGCCACTCAGTCTCTGGCCAGTATCCATGAGCTGACTTTTTTTAAATTTCCGAGCCCTCTTCAGTGAC